GCGGTGGCGTTTTGTGTGTGTTGTACCGTGTGGATTAGGTGTCTCTTTTTGGGTTCACTCATACAATCTATCTGTATTTTTTATATATATATATATATATATATATATTATGGCATAAAATTTTGCATGTTGTAATTATAGTATTTTTTTTTTTTTTTGCCACAACATGTTCTTGTTTTGTCAATTTTCAAAATTATTCAAAATATAAAACTTGTCAATCTTGGTTTTTATTATTGTCAATTTATTTCCTTGGTTCTTATATTGTTTTCCTGTAATGGAACACTTTGGGCGTTGTGAAAGCTCCTCTAGAAGTGAAATATGAACCATATAGAAACATAAAATGACTCAAGCGGGACATAAGAAACCAAATTTTTATGAATTATATATTCAAACAAAAAATATCTTTAGATAGGAGAGGGGATATCATTCTACTAAATATGGAGTCACATTTACTAGAAAATGAACAAAAAATTGCCGCTTCCTTTTCAAACTTGGTTAAGCTAAATTATTATAAAAGAGAAGCAAAAAAATCCATAGAAATAAGTATTATCTTACAAGTATATAACACTGGTAGTTTGTAGTCTTTATTGCTACTTTTCTTAAACTTACGCGCACACTTATATGTACGAAACCTAGAAATCAAGACATTATTTGGAGACAAGGAACCCAACCATTAAGCTAAGTTGGATGCACAATCCATGTCGTTATATTAAGGATGTTAATAAGCCGTCCTCACTTTTTAACAATTGTGCACTTTTAAGCAGTTATTGAATGAGACTAAACTTCTAATGCATGCAACCAGAAGCTTTAACCAAGAGGATATGCCATTGCATTAATAAAATTATGATTCTTACCATTCAATCAACCGAATCTTGTATATAATTGAGAGCCTCCGTACATGCATTTTGTGCAAGAATTCAAAAGGAAAATATAAATAATTTATGCAATCAAGGGAAATTTATTTAATGCAAAATGATGGAACTTTGATTTGCTAACCTTATACACATGCAATCCTCATTTCCTATTGAATTTATGAAACACTTCATTAGATCTTGTGCAATGAAATAGGATGCAACTAGTACATATAATACTTGTTGGTTCCAATTAACAATATATTTGTGGTGACATGAGATCTCAAATTATAATATTTAGATTTTTTTTGTGGCAAATTAGATGTATATTGTAATATCTTATCATGAAAATCTTATCATTTGTAGTTGTTTCAAACCTTTTCTATGTTGGAATGGAGAAGCTTTTAGGATATGACAAAGGCTAAAAAACTTATGGAAGAAGCTTCACTCTTATTTATCACCTTAACTTGGCTTGATACAAACTCAAAGACTCCACCCCTATTTATACTAGTGGCACCTCCTAAATTAATGACTAGGATTGTGCCACCACAATTCCAATCCAATGGTTACAAATAATTCCACACCTACCACACAATAATTCAACACCTACCACACCTACCACACCTACTACACAATAATTTCATACCTACCACATATTCTAGAATAAGCTTCTAGAAATTAAGCTTTATTTAAACAAATAAAACCAAGTTTATATTTCAACATTCTACCTTTGAAATAAACCCTTTTTGCATACTTCAACCATTACTTTTCATTTCTTATATCAATTTATATTAATAATATTTATTGTTTTTTATTTTTTATTTAATCTGAACACACTTTGATCTAATATCTTCTATTGCATTGAAAAAGTTTGTGATAATGAGGATCTTTAGTACTTAGCATCATCATATACTTTCTTCTGCCCAAAAGCTAAAACAATATTAAATCCAACATGTAAACTAAAATCCTCAATTTCCCCATTGCAGGAAGATAGTTGGGTTGTTTGTAGGGTTTTCAAGAAGAAAAGCCTCTACAAATGCAACAACATCCCTTCTGATCAAATCCTCCCTCAAGAAACCAATCTCAACCTCTTCAAAACCACACCATGCCCCAACCTATTTCCTCAAACCCAACCCCACCCTTCTTTCGATCACTTCTCCTTCCTGAACAACAATAATAACAATAACAACAACAACAACACAATGCATCTTCCCCAGCTCCTCAACAGCGATCAGCCCTCCGCAGCTGCCGTAGCCGCCTCTGCTTCCTTCATCACTCCGATCGACCTCGAGTGCTCCCAAAATCTCATGAAGCTAACTGGGGACTGGTCTATATTGGACAAGCTACTTGCTTCTAACCACCAGAGCCAGCTTGATCAATTCTTTCATGTCAAGTATAATAGTACCAGTAGTTCTTCACAACAACTCATGGAGATGAGTTCCTCAGCTCAAAGATTCTTCCCATTACAGTACTTTGGATGTGAGGCCGATCTGCTAAAATTTTCCAAGGAAGGTTAGTAGATGCAACAGTTGGTTTGATGCATTGAGATGTTTATGCGACTATTTTAATATATGAGAAAGATGTACATAAACGCATGTGTGCGTGCATGTGTTTCCTGTGAGGCTTGTGGCCATCATACTATTTTTTTTCAGTGGTTTTTCAGATGATGGATGTGCTGCATTATGTTTGTTTTGGGATGAGTATCTTAAATTATATCCATGAAAGTCGATTATTTATTATTATTGATGTTATGATTGTTGTAGGAAACACTTTTTACTGTTTTTATGGCAGAACAATCACCCAATTTGGATGAAAAAATTTGCACTTCTTTCTAAATGTAGTTTGAAAGGTTTGTTTATTTATTTTTACATGAAATTAAAATGCATAATTTACAATTCTTATAAATCTAACCCTCAAAATTTGTGATTTACTTATATCACATCTAAATCCTTAACACCATATCAAAAATATTATTTATATTCATTTTTTTTTAAATGAACAATATCTTTTCAATCATTTATTTTAAACTTACTATGATATTAAATTTTAATATTAGTAAATATTAAAATTTAGATGTTAGGAATATAAAACATAAGAACTGTGGTATGTATTATATAAATTGTTGTCTAGCGCCAGTAGATCAATATTATTAAGAAAAAAATGTCAAAATTAATAATTAGCATTTATTTCATGAAATGCAATTAAGATATATACAATACATATAACTTATATATCAACTTGTACGTAGCAATGAAAATAGTAATAATTTCTCAATGTGTCAAACTAATTACACTTTACTTTTTCATCTAACTAATTCAACAAATTAACAACAAGAAAGTATAATTAATCAACAGAAGTAAACATTGTTGCTTCTCTTCTTTTTAGCAGCAGCCTTCTTCTGAGCAAAATCCTTCAATCTCTTCAGCGCCACCTCCAACGTATCTCTGCTCATATCAGCAAAGCAAAGTCTGAACCAACCTAGCTCAGCACAACAATATGAGGAACCAGAGGCTATATTAAGCTTTAATTAATCAATTATCACCTTCCAGAGCCCTGCTTCTCCTTTCTCCGTCTCCTCCTCCATAAACTCCTCCACTTTCACTCAACAGAACAACCCTGCTTCTCCTTTCAAGCACTCAATCCCTGCTTCCTTCAACCCATTAACAACTAATTCATATCTCTCTTAGAGTCTCTCTCTATTCTTTATGTTGAGAAATTAGGGCGAAAAAAAATAAAAATCGACACAAATCCAGAAAAATACACAGAGATTTACGAGGTTCGGCAAAGTTGCATACATCCTCGAGAGCAGAGCAGCGACTTCCTTTTCAATATTCAGAAAAGAATACAAAATACAAGATTCAGATTTTCAAGGACCCAGAAACACTTAGGGTTACAAACAAGACATATATATAACTCTATAGTATAATATATATTTACTTAAATTACCACTGTGTCAAACCGCGGGGTGTTGCCCCCGCACCCCTAACTCACATAATGAAACTCCCCCAATTGGACAGATCCTTCAGCTCCACTCCGCTCGTGGGCTCCGCTCCGCTCCGTCAACATCTGTCCCATTTATGGCTGTCCCATTTATGGTATATAAGTCATACCTAACAAATCTCCATCTTGGCGAATATCTATCCCCTTTGGAGAAATATATATACCTAACAAATCTCCACCTTTGCGAATATCCAGCCCCTTAGGAGAAAAAACATCATGAAGTTTCTTATGCACCAGTGTAGGTAGGGCCACCACGCTTCTGCTGCGCCCTCGCTCCCCCCAACCCACTAAATTCCCCAAGAGACACACTTCTTTAATTCTTCCAAGAGACATTTATTCATTTCAAGAGACTCCAAATTAAGGTATTACGAGCCATACCTAATAAATCTCCATCTTAGCGAATATCCAGCCCCTTAAGAGAAATATATCATGGAGATTCTTATGCACCAATGTGGGTTGAGCCACAATTTTACATAATCACTTAACTAAGATTCTTTAATTAAGTTTCCAAGAAAAAAGAAATTTCCCTTAATTAAGTTTTCAAGAAAAAAGAATTTCTCTTAATTAAGTTTCCAAGAAAAAGAATTTTCTTAATTAAACTTTCACAGAAATCTTTTTTCTTAACTTCCATAAAGAGCTCCTCTTTCCTTCCAGAAAAGCTCCGCCTCCGCTTTTCAGAAAGGCTCATTTTTCCTTCCAGAAAAGCTCTGTTTTCTAAAAAAACTTCTACAATTCTAGAACCTATGCCTGCAATTTCGCATCCTGGAACCTGGAATATCACAAAAAGGGTGAATATTGATTTACTTCCAATCGGACAACCTCCAGCTTTCCTTTTCCGAGTGAAGCAACAGATTCCCCTTTTTCCACATCCTGGAATATCTCCGGAATATCTCGGCGTTGAATTTACTTTCCCGCGAATTTTCTTTTTCGCGTCCGCCCTTCCAATTCTGCTCCTCCGCCGCTCCCTCCGCCCAAGAACCAACTTCCCATGCTGAACAGCTTCTACTCTTGGACGCCTGAAACTGCTGCAGAAGGAAGCCTCGCCGAACTCCACTTCCCCGAACCGCCACTGTCGCTACCTGTTTTAGGTCGAACGCAAACATCGAACCGTGTGCCGCGCAAATTTCAGCGAAACCTTCGCAGACTCGCAGTTCCGAACTACTCTGTCGAATCACCTCTCGAATCGTTTTCGCTGCGAACTCCTGCATCTGTAGCCCTCCTTTGCGAGCGTCGAAACTCGGCGCTGAACCCTGCTTCGCGAATTGCTCGTAACCCGTTGTCGGATCCTCCTTCAGTCGCAGGCAAAAAAAGCCCTGCATAATGTCTCGCCCTGCAAAATGTTGTGATTCACGAAAACAAAGCCCTCGCTGAACTTCGTCGAAGCCAAATCGTTGAATCCTCTACGTCGAAATTCTCGTCCGACTAAACTCCTTTGCTCGAATTTGAATTGCAGCGAACCTTTTCGAAATCCTTCCCTAGTCGTCAATCTCTTATGCCAAAATCTTCTTTATTCTTGCGCCGACAAAATTTTTCTTGCCTACCCTCAAACCAGGTTCTAATAGCACTTGTTGAGAAATTAGAGAAAAAAAAAATAGGAATCGACACAAATCCAGAAGAACACATAGAGATTTACGAGGTTCTTCCTCGGGAGCAGAGCAACGACTTCCTTTTGAATATTCAAAAAAGAATACATAATACAAAATTCAGAATCTCAGATACCGAAAGACTCACTTAGGGTTACAAACATGACATATATATAACTATATAGTACAAAATGCAATTACTTAAATTACCACTGTACCAAACCGCGGGATGTTGCTCCCGCACCCCCAACCCAAATAATGAAACTTTCCCGATTTGACAGATCTTTCCGCTCCAGCATCTGTCCCATATATGATATATGAGTCATGCCTAACACTTTTTTATATATCTCATTGTAAACTCCTCAATTGACAACATAAAAGACAACAACTTTTGAGCCTGACAAGAAACAAGATTGAAACTTGACATTCTTCTCACTGTTTTAACAACTCTGTCGTTATAAGAATGCAGAACTCCAACTTTGAAATGGCCCAAATCTTTCGATTAGCTATAAACAATATAAACTTGTTCAGAGATGGCATCAGTGATAAACAAATTTGGGCGAATTATAAAAATTGAACCCGAAACATTGATATTTACAAATGAAGCATTCAGGTGATTTTTTGAACTATCAAACTGATGCATTTACGCATGCCACGATCAAACCATTTTGTGAATTTGATAAAAATGAAAAATATGAGTTTGATTTTATCCTCAAAATAAAGAATTAATCATTCTAGTTCTTGATCTTGTGTATATCACTGATTAATATTTGAGATCAGAAATTGAAAGGCTGTAAGAGACTTTACAGAAGAAGCCAAGACGGAAAAATTTAATGCTTCAAAAAGAGGAAAATAAGACAGAATTTGTTAGAACAGTCTTTATGAAATTTTAAACATTGGATAGAAAATTGAATATTATTACACTCGATATTTGATCATGGAGAAAAATTTTAAAAAGTAAATCAGATGTTGCCAGGTTGAAGGCATAAATCTAAATGCTACTTAGAAGGTAGCCCAAGCGTTCTCTCGTACTGTGATTGCATGATTGCTTACTTTGTTATATTTATTTGTGACTTGATTGGGTTGAGTATATTAAACTAGAGTGCTTATTAGGAGGTAATCCAATGTATTTTCTTTTGTTTTTTTGTTGTATTTGTGTATAATTTGCTTGCAAAAATTCTTAGAATCAGTTAACTCTGACACAATTTAGGAGCTCGATAATATAATTTGACCATCTTATGTTTTAGAACTAGAACTCGTACCTGCATATTTTTGTTTAGATTTATGTCTATATTCATATGAGTTCTTGTTTTTCTTTCATAAGAGTTACATTATTATATAATTTGTTCTTATATGTTATAGGCAAGTGAGTCACATGTTATTGAGAAAATTAGGGAGAAGAAAAACAAGAATCGACACAAATCTAGAAGAACACACAGAGATTTAACAAGGTTCGACAAAGATGCCTACATCCTCGGGAGCAGAGCGGCGGTTTCTTTTTCAATATTCAGAAAAGAATACATAATACAATATTCAGCTCTCTCAAAGACCTATGATTGCAAATAGTTCTATTTATAATCATAGAGTAAATCCTATAATACAATATGTAGTTCCCAAATTACCTCTGTACCGTATAGCGGAGCGTTGACCCAATACCCCCAACCCACATAACGTAACTTTCTAATTTGGACAGATTTTTTCGCTCCGCTCCGCTCCGCTCCGCTATCTTTCCATACCATAACATGTGTTATGGTATATGAGTCATACCATAACACGTGTTATGTGCTACTGTTTGTATCATAAATTTTTTTTGTTATGTTCTATCTTTCTTTGCTCATCTCCCTTTTCTGTGGTCTATGATGTATAAGTGAATGCTTATGTTAATATTGCCCTTGAAGTAAAATAAAAATCTAAATTTGAAATTTACTAAATAATGGTGGCAGTTATAATTGAGGTTGAGTCCAAACTAAAAATATGTAAATATATATAAATAAAAGTGATATGAAAGTTTCCTGAAAGATTTGAAAAAGATTTGTAATTCATTATTCACTAATCCCTGACCTTAGTAATTACCTATTTTTATAACTATT